TTGCTTACCTTACCTTTCTGATACTCTGTGCATGCGCGGGATGTCCACACATCAGCAGCCATGAGTGTGACCTCACTCGCCGCCTCCTGCACCTCAAAAATAATAAGACCTCCCCAAAAATAAGTCCAAGTGCTTATTTTGGGGGGGGCGTTGTCAAAAAAATAAGATCCTATCTTATTTTTGCGGAAACACAGTAAGATTTGGCGAGTTTTTATTCCATTTGGTGGCACTTGTCTTTCTGTTGTTTATACCAGATTAAAGAAACAAACAAAACTTTCTGGCAGACATTCAAGCAGCTAAAAACTGTAGAAAGATGAGCTCCTACTGCGACAGGAAGGTTGTTGCAAAAAAGATTATTGGGTGAGTAAATTGTCAGAAAAGCCCCTTTGTCTGCCTGTATTTTATTTTTAAAAGAAAAATGGTTTACGTTGAGGTTTGGCAATATTGAGAAGTCTGGGTTCATGACTTCCTTGAGTCTCCATCTTGACTTTGGACTGACTCATAACTGTTAGGAGAAGGGTTAATTGGGGGAAAACTAGGCCGTGATTGCTTTCCATTTTCAGGGAAGCTCCCGGCAAGACCAAAATACAGGGAGGCGGCAACGAGCAGATCTCAGACTACAGACACAATTACATAAACAAAATCTGTGTCTCTCTCTAAAGCCGCCAAGCGAACCACCAATTATCCATCCTCTTGGAAAGAGAGAAGGAAAATCAGTGGGTTGAAAGTGGATCTTTTTTAAAATTATTTTTTTTGCATTGCCGAAGTCTAATTCTTTGGGCATGGAAGGTTTCCTCCTGGCCAGCAACGAAGAGATTAAATTAACCTGTTGTGGCCCACCAGCGGCCAATGGAGAGTCGGACAGTGAGGAGGTTGGGGAGGAACAAGGGCCAGTCCTAGAGTCTCTGGAAGGCTTAGATGAGGGCTCTGCATCAGAGGCAGAGATGGGGCCAAGGCCATCTGGCAGTTCTCAGCTGCCTTTGGAGCTAGACAGCAGTGAGGCAGAGGAACATATGGAGCCTGTTCCCAGTGTGCGCATGCACAGAGCTGCCAGGAGAAAAGGACAGCTAAGAAATCACGGTCGACTTGGGAGTAAAGCCACAGGTCGATGGTAAATAGCCTCTCCCGTAGGAAATAAAAGAGGAGCGAAAGGGGAGGGGGCTTTTGCAGGAAACAATGTGTTCGTTCATTCGTTTCAGGAGTGTGAAGATCTGTCCGTGAATNCTTTATTTTATTTATTTAGTTTGTCAAGCATGTACGAGATAACAGGTCTAAGTATAAACATGGACATGGATACAGGAAATGGGGACTGAATAAATGGGGACAGTAGGACAGGGATGGAAGGCACTCCCCCTTTACGGACACTCCTAGGAATGGAGCGAGGTCCACGGTAAATGGTTTAAGGTTGAAGCTGTGAGGATTTGAGGATGTAACAATGGAGTCGGGTAGAGAATTCCAGGCGTTGACCACTCTGTTGCTGAAGTCGTATTTTCTGCAATCGAATTTAGAGTGGTTGACCTTGAATTTGTATCGATTGTTTGCCTGTGTCTTATTGAGGTTGAAGCTGAAAAAGTCGTTGACAGGTAGGACGTTGTAGCGGACAATTTCGTGTACTATGCTTAGGTCAGACTTCAAGCAGTGTAGTTCTAGATTGTCCAAGCCCAACATTTCAAGCCTGATGACATAAGGAATTCTATTGTGAGCAGAGGAGTGGAGGACTCTTCTCTTTCAGAGTATACTTATACTACGTCATAAGAGAAGTTTTTCTCCAAAATTCCTTAAACTTTTCATGCTTCTCAGCAAAACAGTAGTTTAATTTTTGTAACCCTTGATTTGCAACTACCCACGTAACGACCGGTCTAAGTTATAAAGTTATTTATGATTGATTTTTGCATCTACCAATCTTTTAGCATCCCCATGGTCACGTGATCGAAATTCAGATGCTTGGCAACTGGCATGTAATTATGACAGTTGCAGTGTCCTGGGGTTATATGATCCCCTTTTGCCACCTACCGACAAATAAAGTCAATGGGGAAGCGAGAGTCACTTTACAACTGTTTTACTAAGTTAATGACTGCAGTGATTCACTGACAACTGTGGCAGGGAAGGTCATAAAATGGGACAAAACTCACTTACCGCCTGTCTCACTTAGCAATAGAAATTTTTGCTCAAGTGTGATCGTAAGTCAAGGATGTCCTGTATGCTTTTTCCACCTCATCTGTAAATGATTGTTCACTAAGACTCCCAGATTCCTCTCAGAGTTAGATAGCAGAACATGGTAGATGTTGGGTTCTTCATCTATATATATATAAACAGATGTGTGCGTGTTCTAGCATAACTCTGGAACGCCTCGAGCCACTTCAACCAAATGGTGCACAGATGACTTACTCTCTGGAAACAAATACTGTGGAGGCAAGACACCCCTAAAACTCCTCGGGCTATGTGTTCTGTTAAGATACAGCCTGTTGTGCCTTAAAATGGCTTCTACTGTGCAGCGCAGTGGAGTTGCCATGGCAAC